CCCCCCGGCAGCCCCTAGGACGTGCGGGTGGGAGGGGGAGCAACTTCGGGTCGCCGGCGCCTCGGGGAGGGGAGCGCGCGCGAGGAATAGGAAGGGAGCAGCCTAGAGAGAGGTTCGATTTGAGCCGGAGGAGGGGATGGAGCGAGAAGCGGGGGGCGCGGCGCAGCGCAGCACGGCTTAAGTCTCAGGGGGAGCGTCCAGGAGCTGCGCGCGGCCTCGCGGCGCGAGCCCGAGGGAACAGGTGGGGAGAGTGCGAGGAGCAGCGCGCGCGCGCTGGCCCCAGCTCGCGGCAGGAGCAATGCGCTAGGTAGCTCGGCTTGATAGGTTTGGATGTGGTCACTGCAATGTCCCGTTGGACACCCGCCATGTAATCTGTGCGTGGCTAATGACTTCAGGCTACGCATAGGGCAGGCGCTTGTTTCCTAAGAGCAAAAACAACTGCAAAAGCGCCTCCTTATCCCCAAGCGATAACCAGTTTGCCCACTTAGTCTGGGGGGAGGGTCCCCTTTTATCAAGTTAAGATGAAAAAAGAGTATGCGAGTCTTCCAAGATTCAGTTTTTTCTTTTAAAACCAATAACCGCTCTCCTCTCACCGGAGACAGCAGTTTGCTTTTCAGACTCAAGTTACTGTTATTTGCTAATGTCTAAACAAATGGAAGGCACTTTGCTTTCTAGTAATACAGCCATATGAATGAGATACGGGCTTAGACACTACCCGTTGCAAACCCTGTACCAGTTTGGGAACAAGATGTTAAGAGAGGGCAGCGCATAGCGCTACAGTGAAAAACAATCCGGGCTTACAACAATTAAATTGGCAAACATCTCCCATTATTTTGCAGGAAGGTGAAACTCAGGGCATAGGACCTGCGCAGAGGGCTCCGGCCACTGCCTTTTTAAAGAAACAGTGCAGCGGCTTTTCATGATCAGCCAGTAACAAAGGATTATTATGTTCGTCCGAAAGGAATTGTAACCAAGATAAAAACGTCGCCAAATTCTCGCTTCCCATCTATAATATAGTGAGCTGGTGAAGGCATCCATAAAATATTAAAGACCGTTTGAGTCCTAGGGAATTATTTTCTTTTCCTTGTATATTTCTCAATAGTGTGAATTATCGTATGCTAACAATCGATTATTTTAAAATTATAAACATGTATCGTTGATGTAAACTATCGTTTAAAATGTCCTTTCATGATTCAAAATGAATAGTAAGCAAAATCCCCAAGATAAAAATGTAAGTTTGTAAAGCAAAGGGTTGATATAGACTTGTGAGGCAGGTGCAGGTAAGAATTTACTTTCTCTATGCTCTTATCTGTATTTGTTTCTTACTCTCCTCTCTTTGAGTTATTTACATTTGGAAACAATTACTTCATCATGAGTAGTTTCCTGTGACGCAATGGAAGTTCTTATAACTGACCTAGCCCTTCCTGTGTATATGCTCATATGATAAGAGCTCTTCCATTTGATTCAAAAGTAATTTAACCCTTGTAATGTATTCTGCTACTTTGCAAAACAACAATAACTAAAATCAAGTGTTCAAAGCTTCAAAATGTAAATATTAATTTGTTTTTAAACACATAAGTGACAACTCTTGAAAAGCAAAATGCAAAACTTGATTACTCCCTTCCTTTAGAAAAAATCACTTTATCAATAAATGTGTATAATAAACAATTACACCATTTTATAAATTGCTTATTGTTTACTTTTCTTGATAATTTTCTCATTGGGTCAAAATGAGACAATCATCACAGACAAATACTATTCCTTTTCCTGTGTCAGATAGAATATGCTGTAAACTGGGGGAGGGAGGTTTTATTTAAATTTGACAATAGCACTGACCTGACAACTGAGATTGCATGCAAATATGATAGTTACATTGTAACTTGAAAGC